TAAGCGCATGTTGGGCTTATTTAATTGAGACATTAAATTAATTGACTATAAGTGGGTCTTGAATAAGGGCTCTAGTCATTCTAGGTTGCACAACGTGATGAAGGACTAACAGTTGAATTTATCCCTCATTATGCCATTAATTTCACTTGGCATTGCTCTGCAACGGGAGTTCTCATCCATGCTCGGCTGTAGCTCCGACCTTGTCTCGGGCTAATCAGCGCCTCAAACGGGAAGCGAACCCGCTTTGGAAAACGTATCTTTTCGACATTTACCACTACTTATTTTTCATTTATAAGTAGGTCTTCCGAACTATCATTAGATCATATATATAATCTGTATTCAGCCCATTTCGTTTAAGATGATGATAGACTGGTGGTTGAATTTTCCCACATAACTGCAGTTCATTTCAGCCTGGATCATAATACCTTCTTGGATGTAAGATTATGCGAAATTCAACAAAAATATAGGTCTATACAAATCATTGTGGGGAAATTTAACTCCCAGTCCTTCATCACCTTGAAGAAATAAGTAAAGCATAGCTCATATACATGATTTACTGGTCGTCTGGACAGCCTAGTTGAAAGCTTACATGAAAAATAAGCCATAAGTAACAGGTACATCTTTGCTTCAACGACAATCCCACCACATCTCCCCTGTCCCTCAAGAGCACTCGTGCCAGTCTGGCTTAGTGGTTAACCTGCCGGAATTATACATTTCGAGTTCCGCTCGGAGTGGTGATGAGACTTTTTCGAGGTCGAAACCGTCGTCAACTATAGTCGGGATGTGAATACCGTTTTAGGAGCGAAACTACATGAAAATATTGGGAAAAGTAAGGCCGACTCAAGAGATTTTAAGAAAATTTCATCCTATCCTTTATCATCTTATGAGATCTAGAACGACTAGAGGTCATCTTCATGATCTATTTGAAGCCTAGAAACATACTTTACATGAATATGCTCTATTGGTTAGTCATGAACCTCGAACATTGAATGGAATTGTCTCCTTGCCTGCTCCGTAGGGCTTGGCGCGAAAGACACTGCCTCCATACATATTTATCTTTAAAGGCGGAAACTCTTTTCCACAAGCCTCAGCACTAATTGGTCAGTTGACGTCGAACAGAGCTACGCAAGACTAACATCTTCATACTTTTGCAGGTGGGCTCTCTTCCAATTCGGTTGAAAGTGTGCGATGAAGAGATTGTAAAGTGGATCCCACCAGAAGACGTTTGGCGTCACAGGAACCTGCTCCGTCGAGTCCGATGAAGATGTGCTAAACTTTCCTTAGCCAGACAGTGTGAAAATTGGGCCCATCAAAAGAGGGCAAGAATACTAACTGCCTTGGTTCACGTTCTGAAATATTTCCTCTAATCCTGCAAATTTTTTTTGATCTAAAGGCATACACATAATTTATTATGGTCTATGCTTATTTAGGTGTATGGGTACTTAGTTGAGCATAAATCAACTCGATAATAGAAGGAAATAAGGCCATTTTTTAATCAATTTATCCATTTGAAACCGAACTTTCCTCGTATATCTTTTGTATGATTGTGAAGAAGGTAGGGTGAATCTCTTGCCAATTTCACACACACCAAAAACATCTCTTTTTCTTTACCAGGTGTCTGTGGTTTGTCCTTCGAGGCCTCCTCACCAGCCAGCAACATCTTCGGGGGCCTCAATCCCGAGGCCAATGAGTATCCCTGGCTGGTAAGTCTAAAGGTGCATGGTCGCCATTTCTGCGGTGGATCCATTCTCCATGCGAAATGGGTGATCACGGCCTCCCATTGCTTCGTGGATAGTGGGTGAGTGTATCTGCACTGTTGCTCTTTCTTTGCTACCGTTAGGCCGATTATCATCATTTGATTCAGTCACTGCCGATTCCTCATAAATGCCAAACACTCACGCTCAATTTGTTGTCTTCTCCCCGAGCCGGCATCTATTGTCCTCGCCAGAGAGGCCTCCAGCGTGTTCGACGTCTCCGTGATGACGAACGTCTCTGTCAAAGTTCCCATCATCTCAAGTAAATTAAAATAACGAAGGACCAATAGTTGACGTCCTCCATAATCATATCAGTAGACTTCTCGCTTTCATTAATTTGCATTTTACCTTGCTTCCAAAAAGGTATTATCTTCTTGACTTATCATTCCAGTTAACAGACCATACTACTTATTTGGTTGTTAGTAGTATCTGTTTTTAAAACCCAAATTAATGTATTGATAGCCTAGAAATGGAGAAAAGGATGCCTATGGTTAAAAAATCCGCACAAAATGATTGAAAGTAAGGGAAATACATAATATGCTTTTTTGTTTGCATGACCAAAGTAGGCTGCAAAACTGTCAGTAAATATTGTACAATAGTTCAAATCGACCTAGGCTGCATAAGCCAAAGAAGGACTGATAATTGAATTTTTCCACATTCATAGTCCTCACGCTTCCATTGAATTTCACTTTTATCTGCTTCCAAAAGAATGATCTCCTCCAGGTTGATAAGTATCAGGCGAGGCCAAAATTTTAGTTAAATTCGGTCGGGATGAGAATAGCTTTAGAGAGGCAAGGCTATATGAAATGCAATGACAACGTGTGGCCTATACATATGATTGTGGGAAATTTCGACGATTAGTTTTTCATCAACCCTTCTGCCAACTGGAGTGAATATATTTCTCACCCAAGCTGAATTTAAACATGTATTTTGCCATTGAAATCACTCGATTAGTTAATGCCGTCACGATACTCAAGAGCCGGTATCCAATCTCTTGGTCAGTTCGGAACAACAGTTCCGTCCAGATGAGATACCCTTTTGGAGGGTAAGACCAAATGAAGCTCAATTGGATCGGGAAGCCTACGCATCGGATTGTTGGAAAACTATTATATGCCGCTAAATCACCTTATGCGGTCTTGGCTGACTTAGTTCCTATTCAATGACTACTGCTGCTGAATATAAGTTTATGCAACTGTTCTTTATTTTTAGTTGAATAAGGTGGAATAAATTTACTTGTAACTTCGTTACACTGGAAACCGAAGAACAACTGCTGTGGGATTGTGAATCTTGGATTGTGCAAATAAGCTCTCAGCATTGTCAAATTCTAAGGACTTTTCGCACAACTCCACAGTTTGTAGCAAAGTCGAAGCGAGATTGGACATCATTCGTTTTATTAATAAGAAAAACTAGGTATGAAGACCAAGATGGTGTGGCCTTTTGTGTGGTGGCAGTCTCCTTTCGTTGTATAGAAGTTGTTT